TGGAATCGAAATAAAATAAACGTCGATGATATTTTTGCATACAATGTAGCGCTCAATATTATGAAAAAAATAAGGATCTTGAACCTACATCTGTTGAAGAATGTAGATATAGAAATGATTGGTCAATATGGAAAGATGCAATTAAAGTGGAATTAAATTCACTTGCAAAACATGAAGTTTTTGGACCTGTAGTCCGTACACCAAATGGTGTAAAACCAGTGGGATATAAATGGGTATTTGTGCAAAAACGAAATGAGAAAGATGAGATTGTGAGATATAAAGTACGGCTTGTCGAAACAAGGTTTTACCCAAAAACCTAGTATTGATTATGAAGAGACATATTCTCCTGTGGTGGATGCAATTATATTTCGATATTTAATTAGTCTGGCAATACATGAAAATCTTGAAATGCGTTTAATGGATGTAGTTACAACATATTTATATGGCTCACTTGATAATGATATCTATATGAAGATCCCTGAAGGATTTAAGTTGCTTGAAGCATAAAATTTGAATTCTCAAGGGATTTATTAGATCAAATTAAATAAATCTTTATATGGATTAAAATAATCCGAATGCATGTGGTCTAATAACCTTAGTGAATATTTATAGAAAGAAGGCTATAAAAATGATCCTCTATGCCCATGTGTTTTTATAAAAAGATTCAGATCTGAATTTGTGATAATTACTGTTTATGTTGATGATCTAAACATTATTGAAACTCCTGAAAAGTTATCAAAAGTCGTGGATTACTTAAAGAAGGAATTTGAGATGAAAGACCTTGGGAAAATAAAGTTTTGTTTGGGACTTCAGATTGAATACTTGACAAATGGAATTTTTGTCCATCAATCTAATTACATAGCAAAGGTGTTAAAATGATTTTATATGGACAAAGCACATCCATTGAGTTCACCAATGGTTGTAAGATCATTAGATGTGAAAAAAGACCCTTTTCGAGCTCCTAAGGATAATGAAGAACTTCTTGATCTTGAAGTACCATATCTTGGTGCAATTAGAATACTAATGTATCTTGCTAGCAATACACGACCTAATGTATCATTTGCTGTGAATTTATTAGCAAGATATAGTTCTTGTCCAACTTGAAGACATTGGAATGGAATTAAACATATATTTCGATATCTCCAAGGAACAATGGATATGGGTTTATACTATTCAAATGCATCAAAATCATATTTAATCGGTTATGCAGATGCAGAATATTTATCAGATCCACACAAAGCTCGATCCTAGACAGGTTATGTATTCACATATGGAAGTACAACAATTTCATGGCGTTCTGTAAAACAAACTATAGTTTCTACTTCTTCTAACCATGCAGAAATTTTAGCAATTCATGAAGTAAGTCGTGAATATGTTTGGTTAAGATCAATAACTCAACATATTCAAGAAACATGTGGTTTACCAACCAAGAAAGAAATTCCAACAACATTATATGAGGATAATACTGCTTACATAGCACAGTTAA